TGAACTCAGCCACTCCTCATAACGTTTCCCCACCAGACCCTTCACCATCCTCGTGGCCCTCCTTTGGGTGCTCTCTAATAGCTGAATGTCTCTTTTATATTGTGATGCCCAAAAGTGCACACAGGACTCAAGGTGAGGCCTCATAGTGGCTTCAGTGCCTGATGAGGAATGAATTCCTGTAATGGAAGAAGGCTCAGAGAAGATGGGCAAGGGCAATGAGTGACTGAGCACCCCTGAGGCAAAAAAAGGTGACCTTATCACTACACAAAGGGGGATGAGAAGATAGATGGCCTTTGTTTTAGTTCAGCTGAGCGAACTGACCAACTGTGCATCCCTCTAAAGATCACGAAGAGAGTGGCTATCTTCTAAGATAGCCAGACCAGCACGGCATGAGTGTATTTGTGGCTTAGTCCAAAAGAGAGTAAAAAAATGAACGAATAAAAAAACTTACCTGAGGAAAGTACTGGGCCTAAGCTGGCCCCTCACATTTTTTTTTCTTGGTCATTGGGAACACTGGATGTCTTGATGCTGAATATATTGCAGAATTGTGTTCAGTTTTGGGCCCCTAACTACAAGAAAGACACTGAGGTGCTGGAGCTTGTCCAGAAAAGGGCAACAAAGCTGGGAAAGGGTCTGGAGCACAAGTCTTACGAGGATTGGCTGAGGGAGCTGGGGTTGTTTAGCCTGGAGAGGAGGATGCTCGGGGGGACCTTAATGCTCTTCACAACTACCTGAAAGGAGGTTGTAGCCAGGTTACGATCAGCCTCTTCTCACAGGTAACAACTGACAGGACAAGAGGAAATGGCCTCAAGTTGTACCAGGGGAGGTTTAGTTTGGATATTAGCAAAAACCTCTTCATGGAAAGGTGGGTCAAGGATTGGAACAGGCTGCCCAGGAAAGTGGTGGAATCCCCATTCCTGGAAGTGTTCAAAAAACATCTAGATTTGGCACTTGGGGACATGGTTTAGTCGTGAGCTTGGCAGTGTTTGGTTAACAGTTTGACTGCATGACCTTAGCAGTCTTTTCCAACATTAATGATTTTACTATTCTATGTTTGTATGACCACTACTGAAAATCATGTTTGTATTGTGATTCATCTGTGCATTGCAATTGCCACTCTCTACATGAAATTTGTACTGGTGTTTTCATTTTAATACATTGCTGTATCACTCTGCTAAACCAAAATCCTATGTAGCATCAATTAACTTGGATAAGTAAATTTGCCACTAAAAATTAAACCTTCCATGTGTATGAGAAAGTATCAGACTCTAACATCCCACCCTAAAACTCCCCAACCTTTTAGCCTAGTACTTTGAAAAGTTATACATTTGAGAACAAAGCAGTACAAACTCCTGGGACTCAGGAACTAATGACAGCAAAAGGAAGGGGAGTGATTTATCATAATATATGCCTCTATCAGAATCCATCACAGTTACTGACAATTTGTGCAAACATACCATGAATGATCTTTAACAGAAAATGAGAATGAAACAGTAATCACAATCTCCACAAACTACATGTGCAAGAATAACTTTTAATTATTTAATCTGCAATTAACCCTAAAAAGGTGTGAGAGTTAGCACTGTGCAGCTCATCCTAGAGATGCCAGGACTATGAGAAGCCATGTTTCCCATTAGGACACAAAGTGTGTCCAAGCACCTTAGAGAGCCTAAGTGCAGATTCAGCTGCCTCTGTAGGCCCCTGTGCTTCCATCTCCACTTTTTCCCCTCTGCTAAATGTAATTTAGTTCCTTTTTGTGTAGTATGAAGGTAGATAATTGTTCTGAAGTTCCAAAGAGGCCATTCAAGATGGGAATGTGCAATCTGGGCACACTGAAAAACCCAGGTAAACAGTGGAAGATTTGGGGGATGTATGCAGACATATATAAAGTCAGGTCAGGAAAACCTGAGACCTTTACACAAAGCCCAGACAACCATGCAGTTTTGAAAATGACCATGCTTCAAGCAGGGCAATAGACTAGAGACCTCCAGAAGCCCTTTCCTGCCTAACTCTTTTCTTAATTCTAAGGAAGAGGGTGGGTATAACAGAACCATCTGGCATAATGCTGGGGTAGTCCTGCCTCCCACATGCCAGTTGGCCAGAACCTCTGGTTTGGCTGGCCTGCAAGAGAGAAGTTTGTGTCATGTTGCAACTGTGCCCTTAAATCCCCAATGCTTAAGTAGTCAGGGAAGATTTTGCTCCTAAACATACCATTCAAATGTTCAGCGTTTGGATGTTCTGAACCCAAATGGTGGTGCTTGCATCCTTTTCTCATGACAAAATTGTTCTTGAGTAAAAGCCCCCTCTGGTTGGAAGGTATTCCCCTCTGGGTACTGATTTCTCTTCCTTTCTCCTAGCACTTTCCCCAGACCTCTCTTCTGTAACCAGCCTGCACATACTCACCAAGGAGAACAACAACAAGGGCAATGCATGTCAAGAGGAGCAACAGTGAGATCAGCCATGGGAGCCACGGTGGGTATTTCTGGGGGTGGTGCTCACACTTCTTCATCTCAGGAGGTGCTAAAAGTGAAGGAACACACCAAACAAAACATCACAGTCAACTATGCTTTGGCCAATCCCCAGTCCACATACCAAGGATGAGAGAGCTCCTCAAAAATAAAAAGTAATTTAATTTCTGATGTGGAAGTTACATGGTTGGGGAGAAGAGCAGACTGGGACAAATCAGGGGACCTCTGTGGTTTCTGGAGAAGGTCAAGTTCAGTGACAGTATTCCCAGTCCCAGCCCAAATGGTGAGCTAACAATGCTAACTGCTGTTGTTAGGAGGTGAGGCCTTCATGTGGCCTCAAAATCTGCAGTGAAAGAGTGTCTTTCTAAAATGAGCCCAAAGCTGCCAAATACAACATTGCTCTATCCATAATACTTGAGACATTCATATGAAGACTTCATGTTGACTTCTTCCCAGAAAACCTTTTATGCCTGATTCAGTTCCTTCTTAGCTTTTTGGACTTCCTGTGCAGAAGGTTGATATAAGATGAATGAGTATAGGAGACAAAAAATGTACAACGCTATGATGGCTCATAATCATTGGGAGATTAAAAGCTATATTTTTCCCTTCCATCTCTGCTTTCCAAGCCAGGGTTCAGACATTTGCTCTAATAGGTTCTTCTAGGACAGATACCTCGGGAGAACAAAGGGCTGTGTCCAGCAGCCTAAGTAAAGTATCACACTCAGATTAAGACTTGACAGGACTTGACTTTTGTCTAGGGGGATTTTGCCAGTACTGAGGAGTTTTGGAAGTAGACAGGGGAGCAGGTCACAGGGAAGAAGCCATCACTTGTTAGGAGATTGTTCTAGCTTGTGGCAGGTACATAAGCCAGAGCAAATAGAAAGGTAAAGAGACTGCAGCACTCACTGCAGGACAGGAGTAAATAAGTTTTTGGAGAGACTGATATTAATGATAAGATTTAGAGAGACCTCATTTGTTGCTCAGCATGAAACTCCCAAGTCTATCAGCAGCCATGTGTGCCTGCCAGCCATGTCTAGTAAGCAAGACTTCCAGAAATCTGCTCTTTGTGAAAGCCTTCTGACTATTTCCCAAAGGCTACAGAAGGGGAAAAGGCATAATCTTGCATTACTTGTAGAGAAAACATTCATAGACAGACAAGATCCAGATTTCCTTGGTGAAATAATGTTTTTCTAGCCAAGCTTTTGTCTGTAGTGAAAACAAGGAACCAGCTCGTGATCTGGAGTCCAGCCACCTACTTCAGACCTAACCAGTCCAAATAATTTTTTTGATGTGCAGCACATCCAGAGTATGACTGTTCAACCTGTGCCCAGTCAGACCTGAGCATCCCACACTCACACCCAAGAGGCACAGGGAGCACTGCATGCCATCCCCCTCAGCAGCAGTAGTGCTGAGTGCAGTAATCTTGTGCGCACTCAGTGGGTTGAGCTCCCTGCAAAATGCTTTCTACAGTTGGTCTGCTTGCTTGTAAAATGTCCAGCATGATGCCAACACAACAGACTTGATGAGCATACGCTGGTTATTCAGCATGTAAATCCAACATCTCCTAGGCACAGGCAGCAAGTGTGGGGCAGCACAGATGCCTGTGTTTTTACCTGGGAAATCCTGGTTGGAAATGAGGAATTTCCTGCTAGAGTTCATGTATTGTTTGATTAGCCTTCTCCTCTCTAACTTCTTGACTGCCAGTTTTGGTATCTCTAGAGCCCAACTGGAAGAGGCTACAGAATGGGAAAACCCAGGCGTGCTTGGCCATTACCAACATGGGGTCTGCATGGCCAGAGTAACCATTCAGAAGAACAACAGAGCAGCAAGACTGTCTCAACCTTTCACTAATAATCATAACGCTCATCCTATGGGCATAATGTGAGGCTGTGAGAGACATAGAACTGTCTGCAATGGTACTACCAGACACTTCTCTGCATTCCAAGTATAAACGACAGCCAGTGTGAGATCACTTCAACAGGTACACCCAAAATCAGACCCTGAGCACACACCCAAACCTATAGCACAAGCTTGGCATCCACAGCTCAAGCAGACATGGCTGGATCAGATGTCTTTGGAATATCATTTGGAACACAGGGGGAACTTCCACCACCCCCACCTCACCACAATGGAAATGCTAGCTGTATCCAGAACCAGCTAATTCTGGTGCATTGAAAACAGTGAGCTTTCGAGACAGTAATTTATTTCCATGACTCATGCCTCAGAGCGGGCAAGGGATAACCTGGAGCTGATGCCTGCTCTGTTTGGGATTGTAAAACTGAGTTAAAGCTGTTAATAGGCAAATTAATATCCTTAGCAGTAGTAATAGATTTATGCACACATACTTTCACTCCCCTGAAACCTGCTGTTGTATAGGGTTCTGTATGTTAGGGCAGAAGCAATGAGCCATACATAAAGCCTCTCTATGTGTTCCTACTTGTGGTATAATGACTACAGAATACATACTGGTCAGAATATGCCTTACATTTGCATAAAGTCTGGTAAAAAAAAATTACCACTGTAATTTTTAATAGCAATAAAAATTTGTTTGTTTTGTGCGTTAATTATTTTTCAGGAGTGGCAGACATCAATAATAGAGTTGGATCTTCCTCCAGATCTCAAATAATTCTCCTTCTGTGTATTTTAGGGTGTTTTGTTCAAGTTTTGGGTCTCTTTTCTTCAATGACCATATCTCAATCAACCATGGAAAATGGGGTTATAAGTTCCTGCAGCCAGTACCACTTCTCATGAAGCTGTAGAGGACAACTGACTGCTCTACTATAGGGAGACTCCTGTCCTTTCCATAAGGAGGAATCTGTAGTCTCACTCTCTCAGAAGCAAGAGCAGTAGCAGCAAGGACTTGGGCTTATTTGCTGCTTTGGGAGCCCCTTCACCTTTGTGACAGATCAGATTGTTTGTAATAAACCATAGTCTTTATTGTTGGTACTCAATACTGTCCAAAAATGACTCATTCAAGACTACATAACATGTAAGGATGCAGCCAGCATGGAAGCAGGGCTAAGCACTACTCCTGTACAGTGCCTATGCTGCACCTTCTACCTATTGCCACTGTTGGTGTTGCAACCAGGGGGCTGAGGGAGCCCAAATAAATTCCTTAATGAATGTTCACTTGAAACCTACTGTTTGTGCTCCCAGTAGTCATTCTTGATCATGTTGCAACTCCAACTCAACCTTACTCTTGCAGACATTCCTTGAGACTCTTACTTCAAAACTCCTCCAGTCTCCTGCTCATTTAGTGGTAGACAGCTCCTTTTTCTCACCAATCCATCAAGACCAGGTAGGAACCAGTCACAGAAGGAAAAGACTCTGTTCCCTGTTCTTCAGCCCCCCTCATGCCAGCTCCATTTCCCCTGAATAACCCATCCATTCCTTACCTTCAACCACTGCAGCCAGTGATGCATTCTTGAACTTCACCTCAGCATAGGTGACTTCTGATGCCATTTAATCACAGCGTGACCACTGACCCTGTCCTTAGTTTTGCCACAAAAAATGTGGTCCTTTTAGGTCCTTGTTTCCAGGGGTTGACACCAATAGGTTACTGAGGCTTTCCCATCGGCTCATTCACCCTCTGCCCATAAAAGAAGGCTGTGTTAAACACTGGAAACACTGGCAATAACCTCAGAATTCCTGGGAGCTCAGAAACGCTCCATATGGGTCTTCAGTTTCTTAGCCCAGAAAATCAGCCCTGGCACTATGAAAACTTCTGAGACATGAAAAAAAAAGAGAACCTAACAACTGAAAAGGAAGTTGCATCCTTCCTTCCCCTTAACCAATTCTCAGCCGATAGCCTTGCTTTTAAAGATATTTTAGGGTTTTCTTTTTGTCTTTTTACCTTTCTTATTTAACTTTCTCCCATTCTCATATTTTCATGCCTTCCTTTGTTTGCATTCTACTATTGTCCCTAGGTTTGCAACTATCACAGCTCCTAGCCCAGTTTAATCCGCAGTCCAATATAAAATGCATCCTGCCCTCACTAGTCCCTTGTGATTAAGCTGCATTTGTTACATCAAATGTTGCAGCTATGTGTCATTCTCAGAAGTCAGTCCCACTTGGGAGCTAGCACTTACAACAAATCTCGAACAAGGAAATGTTCCTGTAGAAGTGAGACTAGGGATTTGCAGCCTTAGGCAGAGGAATAAAAATAATCAGAACTATGATATATCCAAGGAGAAACAGAAGGATGAGGCCAGGATCAAGGAGCAGAGCAAGCAAAGTAGATTTAAAAAAAAAAATTTTGTTGGTTTGAGAGGTTATTGGGAAGACCACTCACAGTGACCTTTCTATCACAACCTGATTCACAGCCTGTGGAAGTTCAGAGCAGTGCTTGCTTCAGGCTCCATTTCAGAGGCTTTTGAAAAGGGATGGTTTATATTTTTTTGCTCCAACACTGTAATTTATCTCCCTTATCTGCTTTCTGGTAAAGGCCTCTGATATTACCTCAAACAAGATGTCAGTCTGATCTTTAGCCTGATTTCAAGCTGGGGCAGATGTTGAACAGAGACAATTAAGGGAAATGGCTGCTGAGATACATGCTAGATCAGAAAGACTCTGAGAAGAAATGCCAGTAAGTCAGGCAGGGTGAGAAGGGTTCAGTCAGCATATAGGACTCAGGAATCATAGAATGGTTTGGGTCAGAAGGGACCTTCACAGACTATCTTGTCCAGCCCACTGCCATGGGCGAGGACATCTTTCACAACATCAGGCTGCTCAAAGCCCCTTCCAATCTGGTCTTCGACATTTTCAATTAAGGGAAATCAGCAACTTCTCTGAGCAAACTGTTCCAGTGTTTCAACATCCTCATTGTAAAGATTTTGTTCCTTATATCTAATCTAGATCTGGCTTCTTTCACTTTAAAACCATTACCCCTTGTCCTATCACTACAGGTGCTGGTAGAAGGTCTCTCTCCATCTTTCTTTGAAGCCCCATCTAAGTATTGAAAAGCCACAACAAGGTCTCCAAAACAACCAGAAGGGAGAAGGAGGAAGCTTTTCTTGGTTAGTTTAGCTAGCTGGAATTTCCTTAAGGCAGAGCAGACTGAGATGCTCACAGGACATCCAGGGAGTAGCACAGAGGGCACACAGGGCAGAGCTGGAGGTGAGATAGGGTAGTACCAGGAAGAACACGCACCAGACACTAGAGGACCATAATGCGGTAGAAGGTAAAGGGCACGTGAACACAGATTACAGAGAACTACCCCTAAACAGAGTGGGGCATATGTAGCTGGATTTCTTTACCAAGGAGCCTCCTCATGTCTTGTGTGCTCTAAACTGGCTTTATTTCTCCATTTTGTATTGTTTGCAAAGAGCGTGACTTTTATACAAGAATCAGAACAGCTGCAGAACAGAAGCCTGGCCCCTTGAGAATACGCATGCTGCCTGCTTTTCTTTCCAACATCCTTCCAGCACTATGCTTTGTCTTCAGGCTTGGCCCTCTCACTGGAATTAAGACTCCCCAAGTGTCTGCTGAAATGTAGTAAGCCCTCAAATTTCATGTTGAGACTTCAGAGCAATCCTCTGCATGCTTTCCCCTGTCACCACCCAACCAAGCTCAACAGACCCAGTCTCGTGAGGAAAAGGCTTACTTCCTGTCAGGGTTTCAAGATTTCCACTGTGGAGAAACAGGAAATACAATCAGCAGACAAAGAAGGAAGTCACAGAGGTTTTTCCACATCTCCAAACAGAGCTGAGGCATTTCAAATGCGAATTCAGGCTGTAGCTGCTTTTTTTATTAGATGACACTAGACTGCACTCTAACATCAGTAGACAGCTCAATTCTTCTTTCTCAGCCATCAGAGTTGTTGTTGCTTGCTATCAAAATTCAACCCTGAATCATACTTCCAGAGGATGCAATGCTGAGCTGCGCAACAACAGTGAGGCGATATTCCTGTCGGTAAAATTTGTCCTTTGAATTTCATACGCACTGATGGCATGTAACTGGGTGGAAGACAGGAACAATTGGGCCCTGCAGTTAGTTGTGGTGCTGAAAAAAAAAGAAAAAAATAACATCTTGCTTAAAAAAAACCCCAAACTCACATTTTGTTTCCTTGCTTTCCCACTGCTGCTCCTCAGATCGTCTCTTTCCCCATTTCTGTGTTCTGCTCATCCCCTTGTCCTCCAACAATACCTGTGTTTCTCCACAGACATCTTTCAGCTGAACCCTACTCTGCACTGCCACATACCTCCCACACTCCCAATTTCCACTTGCCTCACAACCCAGTTCCTTTCTAGGATTCATGTGTTTGCTCACGTCAACAGCCCTGTACTTCCTCCTTACTTGTGCTCCCATTGCTGGTTGCTCCACAAAACTCCATGGGCACCATTTGGCTGCCTGACCCAAACAGAAAGCACTGGAGGAAAGCTCTTTATCCCCTACCTGTCAATAAGGTTTGAATAAGATAGTATCAGCAAGCCTTTCACCTCACAGACAGTGTCACTCAATCGAGCAAGCAGGTCCATGTCACAACAGAGGAGACAGCACCGTCGCACAGGCCTTACTTCTTTTGAAAATCCATCTGAACCAGAGAGCAGAGTAGCCAAGGGAAGAGCAAAAAAAGACAGTGGAGTATGGAAAATGGGGAGAAGTTAATAAGGGAGGTGAGATACCTAATCAAAGGGATTCAGGCAGTGAAAGCTCCTTGAGAGCTCCTGAGGGATTTGGCTCGTTAGAGAGGATCTACCAACAAGAGATCCCATTGTGTACCCTGCCCAAGGAGCTGGTTAAGGCCGGGAGGGGCAGCATGCTGCAGTTCTTACTGCAGGACTTGAGTTCCCCCAGCTCCAGGGGACAGTGTGGGAGCACTGCAGCCCCCTGGGACCTGGGAGAAAGGCATTCCATGGCTGATGACACTGGCCAGAGCTGCAAGGATAAGAGACCTCTTGTGGAAGGCAGTCACAGAAGGTGAACCAGGGTTCCATACAAATTGCCAGGAGATCTAGGAAGAAATGGGCTATATGGAGCTATAGAAGCTCAGAGAAAAGGACATTCGAGCCAGCATCCAGGGGAGAAAACAGGGAAGTACTGAATGGACAGTGAGAAAGGGAGGTGAGAGCAATGAATGGGATGGGTTAAACAGAAGGCAGCACTGTGAAGCCACACCAGTTTCTGGCAGGTGGCAGCACTTCACCACAGGCAGGCCTGAGTCAGCAGCAACACACGGTGTCCTGAGCAAAACCACCTAGAGTAACACTAGTACATAGACAGAGATCAGCGTCTCACCAAAATATATGGTTACAGTAGCATGCAGAACACGGTGAAAGGAAAGAAAAGTAGAAGAGATGAGAAATAAATGTTTCCCCCAAAAAGGGTTTGTGTATTTTTCCTCTGCACACATTTCTACCAAGTTTTAGTGAGACCTGAGGTTTTCAAGCAGAAGAGGCCATGTCCCAAAGTTATGTGAGCTGAGGGAGCTCAAACTCAGTCAGACTCTGGAAGGGAAAGTCGAGCGCCCAGCTGTAATGATAGGCTATCAAAATCCCCCAGGTGCAAAGGAAAGAACAAGAGAAGTAAGAACGCTATCCAGGGAATCTTCAAGAAGACAAGAAGCCCCAACCCGCCTCTTTACATAAAGCATTAACATAGGACTGTTTCTTCAGAAGAGAAGAGACATGTTTCATTTATTTCCCCTAATTAACAAATTATCCAGTCAAAGCTGACCGAGGACACATTCAGATGCATTTACTCCACAGCTTTGGTTTATGCCATTACTGCGAACATCGCACCTTTGCCCCCTTCCTCTTTTGGACCGGAGTCACAAGTCTCAAGGCCAGAAATTGTTGGAAATCGGGTCCAGCTACTGCAGTTGTTTGCCACAGTGGCATATCTGACTTCAAACCTGGGCCAGATCCAAGTCCTGATCAGACCCCAGTGGCCTGTTTCAGAGGCAGGGCTGTGAAGTTTACCTTCTTAAATAAACTGTACATGGGATTCGCATGAAAAAGTTGCGGCCACATAACACCTCCAATTCTTCATGTTTCATTTTCAGTTCTGTCTAAGGATCACACAGATCATCAACAGGCTTGAATTCAGTTTGGCTACTCTCTGCCCAGTGAGGTGAATGCACCTATCTCCTTCTTTTGAAGGGGAAATGGGGGGAGTGGAAAGAATAGCACAAAAATGGAAAACAACCACAGTCACCAAGTAACTATGAGGGTTATCAGGTAAGGTCACACAGATCCATGACATAATCTTAGGGCCACTCTTATTTGATCTCAACCTGTTTCCCTCCACATCCTCTCCATGTAGTAAAATCTTCTCATAGGGAGGTTTTGGGGACAGCCATACTGGTTAGGCTGTCCCAGCAGGTGGGTCTGGAATAGCAGCACAAACTTCCCTGGTCCTACAGAGCTCCCTCACCCCACTCGTATCCTCAAGGGCAGATGTGTCAGTGAGATTGTAAATGGCCTGTGCTGACCCTTACCCTGCACTCCGTAGCCAAGGCAGCCCTGCATGCCGTTTGCAGCCTCCGAGCCCACCTCGTGCTGGCCAGCAGCAGGGCGGGGAGATACCATCTGCCCCTAGAGGACTGCAGACCTCCCATGTCTGCACTGTCCTGTCCGGCCAGGACATGACAAGGCAAAGGCCATTTGGAAACAGCAACAGAAAGCTGAATTAAACCCAGGGAGAATAACCAACTCAGTCACACACTCCTTGGCACCTCGTCACTGAAACATGCTAGGAAAGTTTTAATGCCAGGCAGGGAGTGCTTAAGCTTTGGGGTTCAACTGTATGCAAGAGCCTCCTCATGACACAGATATCAACACAGTTGGATGGGGAAGGGCAATTTTTTTTTAAGAGCACACTCTCCAGGTGCCTGTGTCACCGACTTTTACAACAGTAGGACACTGAAGTCAGCACAGTAAAGTGAAGGGCGGGCAAATGGTACTTCAGGGTACCATGCTCCAGCATGGAGCCAGCATTGACTCAAAGGGCAAAGGGCCCCTGCTGCTGACTCCCTGCAGGTCCCAGAGCTGCCAGCTGGGATGACACAGAGAGCAAAGTGCTCCTTGATGACTCACACTGGCCTGCAGCACTATGGCCTGAGACTCTTAGACCCTGCTTCCAGTTCACAGTTATTCATGTATTTAGCATTTTAAGACTGGACCAGACAGGCTCAGCACACCATCCTGGTCCTCACCCAGCCTCTGCCCTTCCTGAGGTGAAGGA